GCTGAGGATACGTGACAGCTTGGAGCAAGACACTGTCTCAGCAATCCATAGGTAAACTACCACACACCAGGGTAGGGTCTTAGTTACTTTCTCATTGCCAAGACAAAATACCCAACACTCAGAAGTTAAAGGAAGACAGGTTTATTTTGGCTCACAATTTCCAAAGGTTTCAGTGCATAGTTGGGTGGTTCCAAGGGAGGGCAGCATGGCAGAGGGTTATGGCAGAGGAGAATCAACTCACGGCATAGCAGGCAGGCAGAAAGCAGCAAATGACAAGGGAGGAGAAGGATATATATCCTTCCAGGCCATACCTACAGTGACCCACCGATTCCTACTAAGCTTCACCTCCCAACATTACAACCAACCATCAATCCATCAATCGACTAATCCAGTGATAAATATCACACATCCATGATCTAGGCACCCCTCAGAAGCCCACCTATGTGTACAAGGAGCTTTGGGGAACATTTTAGATATAAGCTATAATTGGTAGAAAGTTCACATTAGCAGAACATGACCTCCCAACCTGCATAGGCATTGCCTCTCTTTAAGAATAACAAATACTACAAACCATGCCTGCTCTAAAGTAGATTTCGCAAAGCAGAACTAGAACAAGCTCTTAGAAAAGAAGAGATTGAGGCAGGGAAAAGATGAGGTCATACTGGATTAGGGTGAGCCCTAGGTCCAATACGACTGGTGTCCTCGTAACATGAGGAGGGAACTCACACAGGGAAGAAGGCCATGTTATGATGGAAGCAGAGATGGGATGACCTATCTATAAGCAGGGAACACTCAGGACTGCTGACAATCACCAGAAGCTGGAAAGAAAAGAAAAAGGAGTTTCCCTTCCAGCCTTCAAGGGAGCAAGGCCTACCAACACCTTGATTTTTAACTTATATCCTCCAGAACAGTGAGCAAATAAATTTCTGTTGTTATAAGCCACCCAATTTATGACAATTTGCTAACAGCAACCCTAGGAAACTAATACAGCATTTATTTATCTTAGTGAGTTCTATTTCTATGAACGACTCATTCACAAATAGTTAATAGGTAGCAACTATCTATCAGGCATCCATCTTACAATGAAGATAACTGAAAAAATCTCTGCTTTGTCAGCATATATTCTGGAATAGGAGAGAAAAGACAGTCAAAGTAAAGTATAATATTGTATATACTTCATCAAATGGTGGTAAGTTCAAGGGGAGTCCTAAAGAGGTGGACTATTAGTTCTTAAATCTGAATAAGTTTAATGCTCTCATTAGATTTTGTTCCAAACATTGACTCAGGATTCTAGTATGTTTATTCTTATAAAAAATGGTACAACATGTAAGGATATGTATGGGATATTCCTCTATTATATCAGTGTCTTCTTTAAAGCCAGGAAACTTTAAAACCAGTCTTAAAATTCAGTGGGAAGAGAAAAAACAATACATAAGCAAAAATTATCCAGGCTACAAGGGATTCTATGCCTAATACACACTTGTTGGCTGATTTATCAAGGAATCTCACCATTTACTAGTCATCAAAAGCCACAGCAATTTAAAAGACATCAACAAAACAAGAATGATTCTGCCATGCAAAGCCACTTCTTAAGAGAACAGGAAGCCTTGAGAAAGAGATGCTGGGACAGAAGCACTTGTAATTGCCCTAGAGTCTCATTAAAGGAAGCTCATTCTGCAGTAAAGAGGATCTGCTATCCATGCTGTCCAATAGAGTAACCCTTAGCACTTGAAATGTGTCTAGGGAGGCTGAAGAATGGAATTTTTAATTCCATTTAATTTTATTAGTTAAACAACCCAGTGCAGCTAGCCACTACTCTGTTGCATAGCATAGTTCTAGAACCACTGAAATCTGGCTGGGAGTTCCCTCACTGAGTCTGAGATGGGACCAGATACTAAAATACCAAGCTAGGAACTGTGAGGATTTACATGAATTGTGTCAACTTGATTGGCTTAAAGAAACTCCCTGGGAATCTGGGTGTGCCTGGGTGGGTCGTGGAGGTGCTATACATGGTACCTGGGCCTTTCCTCTCTGGCACTATTCTCTTGTTTTGCTTCTCAGCCTCTACCAACTAAGCAGCATTGCTCACCATGAAGTTTCTGCTTTGGAACCAGCCATGAATTCCCTGAAACCATGGCCCACATTAAACTTCTCCTGCTTTCAAGCCATTGGTTTCAGGCATTGTGTCTCAGCAACAGGAAAGCTAACTAATATAGGAACCAAGTAGACAAAGCAGTTTGAGCAAGAGAAAGGTAAAGGCTTCACACTTTCTGGTTTCAAATCATATTACAATGCTACAGTAATCAAGACAATCTAGTGCTGGCATATAAATACATACATTGACCAGTAGAACAGAGTAAAGAGCCTAGAGAAATATCTATGCATGTATGGTCATCTGATCTTTAACGAAAGTGCCAAGAATAGACAATGTAGAAAAAATAGTCTCTTCCACAAATGGTGTTGGAAAAACTGGATATCTACATGCATAGAATAAACTGATCTTTTATCTCACACCATACATAAAAATCAAGTAAAAGCTAATAGGAGACTTAAACATAAAATCTGAAATCATAAAATTCCTCAAAGAAAATATAGAAAATATCTTCCTGGCATTGGCTGTTGCTATAATTTCTTAGACATGACACCAAAAGTAAAAGCAACAAAAGAAGTAGTGGACCACTAGGATTATATCAAACTAAAAAACTTCTGCACAAAGGAAACAATCAACAAAATAAGCATTCAACTACAGAGTGGGAGGAAATATTTGCAAACTGTGTATATGATAGAATTAATATCCAAAATCTATAAGGAAGTCTTATAACTCAATAGCAAAAATGAAAAAAATAACCAGATTTTAAAAGTAAATTAAAGATCTAGATAGATGTACTGCAATGAAATATACAAATGCCCAGCTTTTCAGGTATATGAACAGTTGTTCAACATCATCACTGAAATGCAAATAAAAACCAAAATGAAATATCGCCTCACACTGGGCTGGCTATTACCAAAAATAATTAAACAATTTTAGATATGGAGAAAGGAAACCCCAATATACTGTTGGTAGGAATCTAAATTGGTATATCCATTGTGGAAAACAATATGGAGGGTCCTCAAAAAACTAAAAATAGAACTACTATTTCAGGAAGGAATCCCACTTCTGGATATGAGTTAAAGTTAGGATCTAACTTCATTACAGCATAATTCACAATAGCTTAAACACAAAAGCCACCTAAATGTCCATAGATGAATAAATGGATAAAGAAAATATGGTGTATAGATGGAATAGAACAGTATTCAGTCTCTGGAAAAAAAGGAAATCATGCCACTTACAAGAAGATTGATGAACCTGGGGAACATTATGCTAAATGAAATAAGCCAGACACAGAAGGATGAATACTACATGATCACACTGCCATGAAAGATCTTAGAGTCAATATCAGAGAACTAGAGTGGCATCTTTTACTCTTAGCACTTCTTCCACTTCAGCCTTTTCTGAATATCCTTGGGAAGGGGACCAAGCAAGATGTGGAGGGGGAGGAGGAAGAATGGAAACTAAGAATTAAGATGTGTTCTGTACATACCACCTCCCCACAATGAATGTAATCATTATATACTGAAAACATGTACTTATAAAGACTTTTTAAATTAAGTTAATAAATACCCCTTTCTCCCTTGGATATGTTCAGCTGAAGTTTTATGTCATAGCTCTCCTGGTCCTCAGGGAGCTCACATTGCACCACCAATAGAGCCATCCGGAAACCCCAATGTGTCTGTGTTTAAGGAGGCTGGAGGAGAAGGAAAGAGGAAAAATAAGGCTCACCGTACCTTATTACCAGTATGGAGAGTTAAAAGTACAGCATGCAGAGACTGGCTATGCAAACTCTCAGCAGACATCGGGGTACTCAGCTTCTCCCTCAACTTCCTGTCTACCCCATCCTATCTGCAAGGAACTTCGGGGTGGGGGGGTACTTCACTGCATCTTGGGATATATCTGGTATCAGGCCAGAATAACTCCAAAAATGGTTCATCCTAGCGAAGCCTTTGGTATACTGGGAAGTAGCCTCGAAAGCTGATGTTCCCCTGCGCACTGGAACACCCTACGTGGGCATCTAATCTAACCTTTTCAAGCCTTAGGCACCTGGTTTGGGGTGTGATCTTGAGCACCATCTTACACAACCAAACCATTGTATTATTGGGTGCCTAATAATATAAACAAGCTGGTGAATGTTGCTTGTTGGTGGTGTCGCTGTGACCAATGGGGTGTGGGCATAGTTTCCTCTCGTTTTCTTGAGGTTATGGCAAAATTAATGGTTTGCAGCACCTTTAATTTCAAAACTCTGTCAAAGTCTTATCCAGAAGAGTTCCTCTTTACAGCGTATCAGTTTCCCAGGAGAGGAACACTGCACTTTATGAACTGCTGCGACAGCTTTCCTGAGAAGGTGGGAACTGGGAAGTGGGAGTCGGCAGGGTTTGTCCCCGGCAGGAAGCCTTACAAGACGCGTCCACACCGCCATCCACCGGCCTCGAGCAGGTGGCACAGACAACGGGACACCAGCATGGCTCGCGGAATTGAGTTCCAGGGGACCAAACCGACACCTCCCCGGCCCAGCCCGAGGGCTCCGCACCGAACCGCGCGGTGCCCGCTAGGCGCAGCTGGGACCCCCGAGCAGCCCGCGGATCCTGGGGCCCCAGTGACGCGAGGAAGGACGGCTTCACCCCACACTCCGCTCCCGCTGCTGGGGGCAGAGGGACGTCCCGCGGTGCCCTTCCTGTCCTCCCCTCCCGAACAAGCGGCAGAGCTCCCCTTCCCAGCACTGCGCCGGAGACCGCCAAACCCAGAGCCACCCTGAACTAGCGCGGCGCGGGCGGTGCCTAGACGGCACCCACCCGGCCGGGGGAAAGTTTGCGCGCTGGGAACACGGACGGCCCCGCACGCTGCCGGTGGGCCGCTTCTCCGGCGGAGCGGCGCGGAGACCAGCTGCGCCTGGAGAGGAGCTTACGTCTGGGGCGGGCGCGGTGATCCGGTCCGGCCCGGTCCGTCCAGCTGCTGGCGTCCCCGAGGAGGGCGCAGAGGCCGGCCGGCCGTGAGGGGCGCGTCCCGACGGCTTCACCTACAGCCTCCCCCGGCGCCCGAACGCGGCCAAGGCCACCAGCTGCGCGGAGGGAGCCGGGCGGAGCGGGACTGCGCCCGGGTGGTAGGGCGCCGGGCAAGGCGAGCGGACCTCCAGACCCCGCACCCGTATCGGACGGACCCCTGCCCCGGACCCCGTATCGCGTGCCCGGGCAGCTGCAGGGCGCTGAGCGCCGCACTGCGAAAGCGGAGCTCACCGACGGCCAGGGAAGGAGGTGGCCCGGGGGAGGAGGGACGAGGGTGGGAGGGTTGGCCCTGAATTCGCCAGGACTCGGAAGCCCCGCAACCCGTCTGCGGGCGGAGTGCGGGCTGTGGCTCTTACCGGCTTCGGGGCCCCTGCTGGGCGGTAGCGCTCTTCCGCAGCAAGGCCAGGGCACCGTTTCGTGAACATGCCTGGCTTACTCCTCTATTCGCTCCTATCTTGATCGCTTTTCTCTCCTCTATGTGTCCCTGGGAGAGGCACTTCGGATGCCTTTCTCTTCAGTCAGGAAGAAACAAGTTGTACTTCAAGGGACAGGAGCTTCATATTTTATCTGTCCGACAGATCCCACCCGCAGACCACTCCCTCCCTCCCTTCTCTCACATCTTGGGCCCTACCCATAATAACCCTTGATGACACATCCCCCATCCACCCCCACCCCCTGCATTCAAGGAAGTTACTCTTGGGAAGCAAGCTGAAAGCCAAGGGTCTGCTGAACTCCCCCAAAATCTTACATTTCACGGGGCAGCAGAAAACGATAGGACGCTAAAATTGGTGGAAGAAAACGATGGAGAGAAGAGTTGCTTGTTTCCAAATTCTCCTTATCATATCCTACCATTTCCTTTTTGCCAGCGTAGCCAAGGAAAAATCAAAATAACTGCAGACACTGACAAGTACTACATTTGTTATTTTTTAAAAAGATTTAACGTTTTAAAGGCAAGTATTATTTGCATTAAGGAAATGGAAAATTTGTTCTAGGTTTTGCAAAGAAACTTTATTCCTAAGACTGCCTGGGCCTTTGCCCAGGCTGCAGGGACAGGGTAGAACCCCAGCCTCCGACCATAAACCTCTTTTGGGTTTTTGTGAACTAAGGAAACAGGAAGTACTGCCCATCATTCACCAGGTAGCATCAGAGAGCATTGGAGGGACTCAAACTGCAAAGATAAACTTTACCACTTGATGTGCAAGATACTTGTTAAATGTTTGGGCGAAAAGGAATTCACTGAGTTTTTCTTAGAAATGATTTTTTTAATCCAATTTCAGTCAAGATCTTAAAGGAAACTTCAAAAATTATTCATGAGGTTATAGAATTAATGTATCTCCATTAGGCACATATGTCAACAAAATATGTATGAGGTACCTACCTGTTCCTTGACTATTAAAAATTATACGTTTGTAAAATGGGGCCACAGTTAAAATGAGCATGGTTTGGATTCAGTCAGCAAGGCTTCTACAGGCTTTCTGAAACTGTGTATGGGCTTCTATTTCATTTCCTTTCTTTTCCACTTTCTGCCCTCTGGTGGAAGTGGCTACAGGAACTATGAAATTAAAGTGGCTAAATGAGGACAACCAGGGTGGTTGTCTCCCTCCCTCTTATGTTACTACACAGTGTTCCTCTGAGAACTAAAGCATTCCTTATAATTCTTTTGTCAAGAGAATCTAACCAGCTTTAGTTACCAAGAGCACCAGAATGAACACTTGAGGTAAATAGTCATTGCCTGAGGGTAATGATATAAAAAGTGAAGGAAAACATGCGTTTTGGGATTTTTTGTAATGAACTTTTATAATGTAAGGAATAAAAATATTAAAAATCTCAAAACATTTTCAAAATAATTTGAATATGCAATGTGTTCACTGTAATCTTTAATGGCCTGTTCCAATTTAAAGTGGCAACTATCTAATTTTTTTTGGGGGGGGGCAGTACCAGGAATCAAACTCAGAACCTTCCACTTGCAAGGCAGGCACTGTGCCACTGAGCTATATCCCTGGTCCAACCATCTAATTTTTTAAAGTAAATTACAAAAAGAAACATTTCTACACCTTTGAAATTTTTTTGTGGGGGTGGGGGGGTTGGTTTGGTTTTTTTCCGGTACTGGGAATCGAACTCATGACCTTGTGCTTGCCAGGAAGGCGCTGTGTCACTGAGCTAAATCTCCAGCCTCCCATCTTTGAAATTTTTATTGTCCAGCATTTAGAGCATATATACAACAAGGGGCATCAAAAGATGCAGTGAATGTTTAATAACAAAAATATATTCCAGTAAAAGACACATTGCCAAGAAAATGGGATATGTTCAAAATGGGATAAAGTATTTTGAATAGTCTGAGGTGGATAAATGGCAATATGTCTTTTACTGTAATACATTTTTTAAACATTCACCATGTTTTTTGATCACCCCTTTTGAGCAAATGTTTATGGCAATTTCTGGCAAATAAAAACATTATGATGTATCCCATCCACCTAATTCACTATATCGGCACCATTCAACTTCTGGCTCTTTTCCAAAGTTAGAATGACCGGGGCTGGGGATTTAGCTCAGCGGCAAAGCGCCTGCCTGGCAAGCGCAAGGTCATGAGTTCGGTTCCTGGTACCGGAGAAAAAACAAAAAAAAAAAAACAAAAAAACAAAGTTAGAATGACCATGAAAAGTAAAATTGAATCAATTTAGGACATCAAAGTAGCCACAGCAGCAAAAACTAGTAACACTCACAAAAGAAGACTTCCAGAACTGCTTCAGAAAGTGTCAAGAATGATGGATAAGTGTGTTCAAAACGAGGTTGAGTTTCTGAGGGGTATAATGGCAATATGTCTTACTGCAATAAATTTTTAAAATTTAACTGCTCACCATAGGTTTTGCTCATATCTCACAGATCATTTAAAAGAAAAACATTAAAGGGATTTATGGGAAAATTAATTTAAACATAGGGAATATGCCTCTGGAAAGAGCAGACTTTGGTCATATTATCATACTATAGGCCAAACTTGTGCAATTTGAGAAGGCAATCTGAGAATAAGGAAGAAGTATCTTAGAGAAGCAGCCAGAGTCCCAGGATGACAGACAAAAAGAGATAAGCTACTCCCAGCTTATCTATGTACTATTCATTTCCACTCTAGGATTTGTTAGCTGCAAAAGAACAAAAAATCTCTTCTCACAGAGCCCTCACTCTGGTTGAATGAATACATTACATCCATTACACAAATAAATTTATATCAACTGTGGAAAAATACAAATAAAGTGGAAATAGCCTTATGAAGAAGAATGTAACATTTTTTGCTCAGATATAAAGACGCAAAGCTTTTAAAATAAAAATTAAAGAGCAGAGCACAAACCAGGCAAACTAGAAACCTACCTGTTATGGAGAGAGGAACTTTAATTTATCTTAAAGAAGGAAGACACACCCATACACTCCTCTATTCTAGCCTAATATTGCTAGCAAATAAATCCCCTAGTCCAGTACACCATAGCAGCCACACCAAAAGAAGGCAAGCAGAACCGGCCCTCGAGGGAATTTCAATACAATTTTATTTTTAGCACTCTCATATACCTAGTGATACATGGGGCCACATACAGCAATGTGACTGCCTAAATGCCTTACCTTTGGCCAGCACACTGCCTACGCCCCCAGGGAAGTGCCTGTGGATCAGAGAAGCCTTAAAGTTATGTAAGTCACACTCATCTACTACTATTGCTTAGGTTTTTTTAAGCACTGTGTGCCAGGCGATTCATAAAATGACATAGAAAATTTCTCAGTTTTCAACTCTTAAATCTAGTTTCAAAAAAATGAGAATAGGCCCACTTTCTATTATGGAGATTAAATAAATATATAAAATGCTTTAAAAGAGCCACACACACAATATGGCTAAAACTCACTGGGACAAGTACTCATTACTTCTTTTACAGAAGACAAATACCATTACCATTTTACAGAAGACAAATAATTTAAGACCTCACATCTAAGGAAGTGGTAAAACCACAACTGGAGGCCCATGAAATCTAGAACCACAGAATGACTTAACCCCTATCTCAATATAATGATTAAAAATTGATGAAAATGCTCAAGAAATTTACAGTCTAGATTTACACTGTAAATTTATTCATTCATCTACCTGCGCACTGTAATGGGCTATTCCCCAGCCTCAAATTCAAAGTCCATCCAGAACCTCACAGTGTGACCTTCCCTTGTTTGGGAATAGAGCCTTTGTACATGTAATTAACAATTATACTGCCATAGGGTGGGCTTTAAATTCAGACTGTCCTCATAAGGTAGGAAAGGTCACATAGAAATATCAAGAGAGCAATGTGAAGATGGAGGCAGAGACTGGAGTGATGCACCCAGAAGCCCAGAAACACCAAGGATTGACATCCGCTACCAACCAGGAGGTAGACATGAATCAGTTTCTCTTTCAGGGCCTTCAGGAGGAATGAACTAGTTGATGCCTTGATTTTGGACTTCTGGCCACCTGAACTGTGAGAAAATAAATGTCTATTGCTTAAATCATATTATATATGGCATTTATTATGGCAGCCTTAGGAAACTAATACCAGCATCTATCATGTGACTAGGCACAGTTCCCCACTCCTTGGTTACAGCAATAAACAAAACTGCACTCCTCCCCTTAAAGAGCTTACATTCCAGCCAGGGAGATGGACAGTAAGCAAATATATATTATGAAGGTAGAGACTCTTTAGTACAATGAGCGAGAAGGTTTTGTAAAACAAAGGATGACCAGACGGAGGTGATGAGGGAAAGTTAGAAAAGCTCTCACTAAAAGCATCTTAACTCAAATGAATTTGAGTGTGGAATTTCATGCTGTATGTGGATTTTTCACACGTTAGATGCATGCCTCATCCCTAATTTGAAAGAAAATATAGCAAGAGCAACTCCATAGACAACAGACCTGAACTTTCTCCATATAGACTCTAAAATAAAAATGGCTTCTCAGGTGGTGAATTGGTCTTGTCTTTTAATTAGCAATAACCATGCCTCAGATAAACCTCATTGGTTTTGATACTGCCATCACACAAAGCTTTGTCTTTTAAAAGCTTCTGGAAAGCAAAGGGGCTAAGCGTTCCTCCCAGTGCTCCCAATGTCACATCTCTTTCAGGAGGAAGTAGCCGGCCCTCTGTCTCTTCCTCGCTACCTGAGGATCTCCTGTCTTATAAGACCTAATACCCAAGGCTGGGGCGGCCTAATCTCTGCCATTTAATTGCAGCACTTTCCAGACTGAGAGAGCTACCTCATGTCTACTCCAGCCTAAAGCTTAGAATCTGCCTTACTTTTCAGTACTCAAGGACATGTACACATTAATAGATGGAAGAGTCACATGGGTCCTCATAGCTTTTTTGGTACCTTTTATCTTTCTGTCCTCTTTACTGCTGGCCAGCGGAAATGTTGGCTCCTGCTGTACCTTTAGTGTTCCTGACCCAACACCCAACTAATCTTCCATTCCTCTTTAGATCACAGCACCTTCAACTGTTTTAATAACTTTGATTATTAAAGGCTGAATGAGGTCCAAGTCCTCCAAGACCTGAAGCTCAGAAAGTCACCTCTGGCAATGAGCTGACCCCTCAATGTGTGACCCTTCTTTCCTACTGCTACCTTAATCTGGCTTAGTCCTTAGTTCCCAGTTTAGCTAGAGGGACCCACAAAATAGATTATACATGGTGACAGCAGAAGCTTTGATTGTACCAGGCATCTAAGGGGAAAAAAGTTCTTTGAAGGGAAATGGAACGCTTTATATCTCTCCATATTGGGTCTTTAAAATTCCTACAGGGTACAGGGATAGTGATGCATGCCTGTATTCCCAGCACTCAGGAGGATGAGGCAAGAGATTGCCATGATTTCAAGGCCAGTAGGGGCTACGTGGTGAGTTCAAGGCCAGTCTAAACTACATAGTGAGAATGAGACGCTGTCTCAAAAAAATAAAACTCTTGTCACCTTTGAACACTAACAGATATACCTATACTTAAAATTAACATTAGCAACCTAACAGACTTCTTTACAAAAAACAAGTTCTATGAAGTCGTGTTTCAATAAAGTTCCTTTGGCAATTTCAGTAACAATTACCCCTATTTGTTTAAAGTTAATTTGGGTATAAACAGTGAAACTGAAGTAAAAATATTAGGGGTTCATAGATCTAAATGTTTAAAGTGAAAAATCTTAAAGTTTTCAATATAAATTCCATAAATTTCACCTTTTTTTTGGTACCAGGAATTGAACTTAGGACTTAGCACTTGCTAGCCAGGTGCTTAGGCCACTGAGCTACATTCCTGGCCCATCCATAAATTTCAAACAGATGGGTAAAACACTTCTTCTACTGTGAATAGTGTAATGTAATATATACATTACACTGTTCATGTGACAGCTAAATACGAAACTGACCATCACATTCACAATTTTATCTATGCCCTTCTTACTGGCTATTTGGTAACTTTTTCAATTTCTTTAGTTCAAAATGAAGCATAAAGAACAATCTGTAGTACATTCACTCAAGGCAAATTACTTAAGTATTTAGACATTTAGCCTCACTTAACCTTTATAAAATTTTTTATTAGTCCATGTTTGTGGTACTTTATGCTCCCCATTTATTGAGGGCAGTGTACACAGCACATCTTAATTTTCTTGTCCCCTCCCCTTCTCATCCCACCTGTTCCCTCCAACTCTTGGTCTCCTTCCCATGTGGCAAAGTTCTATTTCCATTTTTGTCTCTCAATTTTTTTTTATCCCTTTTCTCTCCCCTCTTTCCAGCTTTCTCTCCACCCCTTCCCATTTGAAAAAGATCACTCTACTTCCTATTATCTCTTTTGTTTTGTTCTTCATATTCTGGGTTTCTTATAGAAGAGAAACCATGTGATATCTAACTTTGTGTGTCTGACTTACTTCAGTATTATGGTCTCAAGGTACATCCATTTACCTATGAATGCCTCAAGTTTATCCTTCATAACAGAGTAGTACTTCATTATGTGTAAGTATCCGTTTTCTTTATCCATTTTTCTGTGGATGGACATATGTCCAAATTTTGGAAGGCCGCTTCCAAAATTTAGCTATTAGAAATTGTGCTGCTATAAATATGGGTACGCATGTTATCACTACAAGGTTATGACTTTAACTCCTTTGGGAAGATACCTAGAAGGGGAATAACTGGTTGAATGGAATTTCTATTTTTAGTTTGAGGAAGCTCCATACTGACTTCCATAGTGATTATACTAGTTTACATTTCCACCAATATAGGAAGGTTCCTTTCCCTCACAACCTTGCCAGTATTTGTTATTATCTGGTTTCTTAATGATGGCCATTCTTTCTGGAGTAAAATCATCTTTCTCCCCACTTTTACCCTCCCCACTTTTACGCCCTCTGCTTCTCACAGTCATGAAACTGCACCCCTTTAAAACTTTCGTAAGTACAGACTGTCTACCTTCCAGCACCAGCCCTTGGGCTTTCCAGTGCAGAGCTTTCAGTCTTCCAGGGCAGATTCCTTGTCCTCCTGATACAAACTTGTATGGGACATTGCCATGGGACAATCCGTACCCTCGCCTAGATTCTTCAGATCTTTAACATATATCTGAAAACTCAATGAATGAATAGCTGTGAATCTGGATGAATTAAGCTCTGAGCTAGTCAAACAAAAAACAACCAACAACTCAGTTTATCATTCATAATCTCCTTCCTCTGCTCACTAAATTCTTCCCACAGTGCAGGGGGAAAAAAAGAAAAAAGAAAAACTTACCATGAACAGAAGCCCAACAACTGGCATATATTAGGCTTCAGGCTTGTTTAATCAGCCAACATTCTGATATACATGAAAATGGATTGCCACACAAATCTTTGGTCACTCATATTTTAGACTGATTTTGGTTAAATCAGGTCCTACCTTGAGCTCATGGTATATTAGAGCTTCCAATATACCAACCCAGTAACTACAATATTAAGAAAGCCACAGAAAAAATTTTAAAAGCCCTCAAATCAAAACATAAATACAGCAAATGAATGAATGCCCTTTAATTCTGCACACCTGCTAACATCTGATTAAAAAGAATGACACTGAAGATTTTTCAGTTAAATCCAACAAATTTTACAATCTTCCTTTGGACTCCTGTTTAAAAATACACTTGCACCACTTTTCAGCTGGATGTTTTTAGTATCAGTTTCTAAGTTCTACATCAAATACACTGATACTAATCCCTACCCTAAAATTACAGTTTCCTAGATGTTTTAAATAATAACAAATATTCTAATTAGAAATTTGATATGAAAGTTTTAATGAAAATATTAACGATACAAAAATTAAATAGCAAATCTACTTAAAAAGACTTAACAACTTCAACAGAACTGGCTTAGTGGTACTCACTGATTTGTTTTCATAAGGATTATTTCTAGCTGTAATCTACCTAAGACTGTGGTAAAGAAAAATGAGAATCATTTCCATATATAAACCCCGTGCTCAGCACATATTGCTCATAAATATTAGTTTTTCTTTTATTATTATCTTTAAAAGATACAAGTTTTACAAAACATGCCAACTTCAGTTGAAAGCTACTTGCACAGAAACCAGCCATATGTGAGGAACTTAGCCTTGCATTTGTTGAAACAACTATCTTTTCTGAGGAATACACTGAAATTTATTTCAATGACTGATAAGTTCTCACCAACTTCTAAAATCTAATAAAGCTTCATGTTACAATTTAACAGGTCTTTCAGAGAATTACTTCTTAAAAAATACAGTTACATGATCAAAAAAAGTACTAAATAACTGAAACATTGAGAAATTTTCCTCTTAACTACACATATGGCTCAGTCAGTTTCATCTGAGTTAAAAAAATCCAAAAAAGTTGTGTTTCAAATATTAAATGAAACAACTAATACAAAGAAGCACAATGAATGACAAACATGTAACTGTCACTAGCTAAGCCTTATGAAATATTTTACAATTTCAGTCATGCTTTAAGTGTTATACTGTCCATTCTAGAATACTAATTAAGATAAAGCTTAACATTCTGTACTTCTAACAAGAGCTGGAGAATACAGAGATGAATGAATATATATTACGTTCTACAAAACACACTGTTTAATATCCCAAACTTAACAATTTATCTAAATTCAATCTGAGGTATATTAAAAGATAAAGCATTTTATTTAATTTGTACCATCGGTGATGTACCATGCAAACACTGCCACTGCAACTCCACACACTGAAAGAAAATAGTATCTGTATTTTTGCCAAAACGATAGCTCAACTGCCACTTCATCTCTTTTTCTGTTCTTCTTCCGACGACCCTTCAATCTGTTTTCAAAAGCCTCCAGTTCAGCCTAAATCAAAAGTTTAATTTGTATTAAATTCAATGTATACATTTATTTGAAACCTTTCATCTGAACTAAAATAAATCAATATGGGAAATATCCGAAGAGCAACAGTGTAAATATGTTAATCTGAGTGCACCACCTCTCTCCACTGCTGACTGTACTCACCAAATTCAGAATTAAATTAGAGAAGCAGAAAGGGGTCTGAGGAATGATAGCAGAGATTATTTCGGACTACAGGCCTAACTTTAAAAATAAATATTAAAACAGCTGATTAAACTGGGGCCCTATAAAACAGACATCAGTTTTATACTTTTAACGCAGTCATATTTCAGTATCAGCTCTTTGGGAGTGCTAAGAGATGCCCAACGAGAAAAGAAACTTACAATTCAAAAATGAAATTGCAACTCAAGAAATACATATTAGTGGTTTTAGGGAAAAAATTCAAATGAATAATGAAAAAAATTGCCAACACTCAATTCTTCTCTTCATCAAACATATTTTTTAAAAACACAGTAAAAATTCTTCAAGGAATAAAAAAGATGCTTTAGGTTTTAATGTAAAAACTAAAGAACTATAAGCTAGTTCTAAAAAAGGATAACTGGGTTACAGTCATTATCAAATGTGGATTTTTATTTGACTGCTAAGTATTTATTAAACTTCTATACACTATGATAATATATTATGACACACTATAGTACATAGTTACTAAAACATGAGCTTCTAAAATACTAAGTATTAATATTACTAATAAATACTTCAAATACTTTAATTACTAATTACTTTTAATTAGTAATTAAAGTATTACTTCAAAATATGAGTCTGTAAATGTTTACATAATAAAAGGAAATGTAAACTTCAATTAACATATTCATTACTTTAACTACAAATGAAAAAGACCTAACAATATACTTCATTTAATATAAAGTAGCATTCTTCCATGAGCAAGAAAAAACGAACTACTCCCAAGTGGTTATTATATATAGAAAAAAGTCAAAATAGCTTAAAAGCAACCAAATTTGAGGACCATGGACAGTAAAATAATTGATGCTGGGGGCTGGGGATTTAGCTCAGCGGCAAAGGCGCCTGCTTGGCAAGCACAAGGTCATGAGTTTGGTTCCCGGTACCGGAGAAAAACCAAAAAACCAAAAAAAAAAAAAAAAAATTGATGCTGAAATAATGACCCATAGTCTATAAGTACACATTAGCTTCTATACATTCTGCTGAAAGTCAGTAAATAGGAATATGTTTAAGATTTTTCATCCATAATTGTCCATAAAATGGTGTTGGGAATAAAAATCTAATAATTTAATTGCCCAGGATTCCAGCCAGTATTAGCTTTGGTAATTTATTATGAGGATATTAGGCAAATCAACTTTACAGACTAATAAAACATCAGTGGTCATCTTGGCCAATCTTTATTTGCCACACCAATTGTTCTAATGTCCTCCCCCAAGTCTTGTAAGTTTTAATCCTTTCATTCATAAAAGTAGTTAATTTAGTTTATAAGTATAAAGCATCTCAGGGTGCAAATTAACAAGTGATTAATTACACATCGTATTAGGAGGTGAAGCCACTCTTTGGAGCATACAATCAGTATTTGAGCAAACGGGATACCAGGAATATACTTGTTGTCTGGGTTATAACAAAGAACAGATGATAGACCTAAATTTCAGGATCTAATGGGGATATAAGGGAATACATTATTGAAACAAATGTATTTTTTGCAACGTGTGGAAAACCTCAGTACTTTCACATGAGTGAAGACACGGGTTCGGAAGATGCTTTACAATGATGACATGATATCCTTTCTACTACTCCTTCACCAGAAGAAGACTTAAAGCTCTTATGGTGAGAAAGTGAATGAAATTGGTAAGGAAGTAAACTGGAAAGATACACAATACTTTGGAATATGCAAGATCTATGCCTTAGAGTTTTGGCACACCTGAAATGAAGTAAATAGATGGTTCATTTTTGTTTTATAGGAACTATGTTATATTCAGTTCAGATGAGAGTTGAATTTAGTTCATCTGTATTTGGCATGTATCTTATGTTTGCACAAAAGTAACAGTAAAGCCAGTAGCACAGACATAAGAAACATAAATTATTTTGGTCAGTTACCTGTTGTCTTCGTTTTTCCTCTTCAAGAGCAGCTTTGGCTTCAGCTTCTTTTATCTGTTTATATGCATAGTATAAAACAAGTAAAATTTTAATTATCGAATTTTGTAGAGAAAGAATTACTATCTTCTCACCCAGGCTCTACTAACCTATAGCAAATTTTGGAAGTCTCGTATTAGAAACTGTTTAAAGGAATATAATATTATACTGAGAAGTTTTATTAGACACAATTTAATAGATTAAAAGTGGTGGTGGAGGGAGTGTGATTCCTTAAATAATTATTTCCTTTTAACTATGTTAGACATCAAATCACAATTCAAAGTGTTAAAACACTATAAACTGAAATACTTTTAAATTCTGAATTTCTCCATTAAATTATCTTATTAGGAATCTAGAATCAAGTACTAAATATTACAATTCCCTACAGCTGAAACTGACCATTTTTCAAATACTGTATCTGAAAGGGAACCCTTAGTTGTAACAAAATCAAGAGTTTACTCCTTGATGGGTTTGAAAAGGAAAACAGTAACGTGAAAAATAGTCCCAAATCCTTTTGTATTGTTTTAATCTAATTTCCAGGAGACTTATGCTAACATTGAAACAAATGACCATGGCCCAGAGTAGACACACTACTTGCATGAAGGATGTAAAACTTAGGTACACAGTGGACAATGAAAAGCATGCCTTGGATTCAAAATAAGACCATAAAACTTAGCTTTTATGATAAAAAAGAGAAACATGAGATTTTAAATTGTTTTTAATGAGCACATAAATAAATGCACAAAATAGGTGGAGAAAAGCCATTAGCACATTAAAAAGATACTTGAGACATTACCTCAGATGCTTTCCGCTTCATTTCCTTGCATGTTGTGTCACATTCTATAGAAACCTGATTTTCACGTACTTTACTGCACTGCAATTCCTACAGAAAATCCAAATTTCAAATCTTAAATGATCTTTCCTTCAAATTCACAAGTGTATGCCATAAAAAAATTTATCAACAGCTTATGGTTATAAATATTTATCATTAATGTTTAATGTTGTTATAGTAATAAGCATTAAATATCTTGGTTCAAATGATGATTACTCCTCTATTTTCTCTTAAATAAAAAGTAAGTAGCAACAGTTAAAATAATCCATCTAATAATTATTTACTAGGTACCACTAGCGACTTGGCCCATTTTATTTTTATTCTTTTTTTTACTGCTTTTTGTTATTACTCTAGCTTCCAGGGAATAAAATGTTGTGCAACAGTTCTAGCAAACACAGTTTTCTAGATAACAGAAATGCTCCAAATCTGTACTAGCTAGAAGAGTAGTAATAACTATTCATGAGCTCTTAAAATGTGACTAATGCACCTGAACAACCAAATACTTAATACATGAAATAGTATTAACATGAAATATGGTAAATCAAAAATCAACATAAAACAAAGTTTCAAAGGAGTCCAGGGTGCCATCTGCCAGCAGGAAGTCAAAATTACAAATGAAAAAAACCTATCTTTTCCTTCACAAATGTTGTTAAACTGTATATAATTTGTTTCTGCTGTGGCTTCCAATCATTAGTCTTCACCTCATTACTGTTATTTTATCTTAAGATTAATTCTTCCCGAGTTTGAGTGTTATTTTACTCATGAGGCTGTGCCTGTGAGGTCTTTCAAAGGAAATATTTTCAAAAGAATACTACTGGCAAAGAACTTTAATGAATTAGAACAACAAAGTTTAATTCCAGACCATTTCTTAAACTAGGAAACCCACTTTATCACTCAAAACATGTTGCTCCTTCAGAGACCTCAAATCTAGAGCATACTGATTCTCTATCCAAGCATGGAGCTTGACTCCAATAGAAAACAATATTTAATTGTTAAGCCGAAGAAAATTAAATTGCCAAAGCTGATTTTTAAAATTAAGCACTTATTGAAGTAAGCAGACTCTTTTTTAATTATAACAAAAGATTCCAAGAAGACTTGGAATGAGAAGACAAAAAAGTAAACCCAAAGAACATACCATACAGACCAAGCCAAACAAAACAAAAATTTACACAGAAAAAGTATTTTCAATGACTTAGAATACATACCTTTTTTATTCTTTTACAAGGACATCTAAGTTTAACCTTCTGGTTGCAATTAAAGGGACATTCACCAGGATGACACATCTCTTTGCATCTATGACCACAAGGAAGCTAAAATAAAACCAAAATAAAGCAACTTCATATTTACATTTTGGTAATATTTGCCATCCTCCTATACCCCAACAACTATTTTAAGAAAGATTCCATCACACATAGGCCAAATCAATCCTGGCTAACAAATGGGCTAATTTTCCAACATTCTTCTTTTAGATAATTTATAAAGAAATTTTCAATGTTCTCCCCAGCTCACTCTAATAGTAGATCTTACAGCTACCCTTGCAGCTAGTTATAGCCATGTGATTAAGATTCAGTCAATGGACTATTCACAAGTGTGCTTGCACATATTTCCACAATGTTACTTCATGTGCTGGAAATAAGGAAATCTGTAGCAATCATGAAAACTGGATGCCAAAGACCAGAGTTGCCTGGCCAGCTGGCTCCCTGCAGGAATAATATACGAAACACAGTGACACAACTACTATCGCTGTACAGTCATATAAGGAAAAAGAAACCTTCCTCATCCTTAAGCTACTATATTGTGTTACAAATGTTCACCCTTTTACTCTAAAACATTTACCCTTTACATTATGTATTAATATATTTTATTTAGGTAGTAAAAACAACTCAAATTGCCATGATGTCTAAGTACTCCTTATCTTTCATTATTTACTACCCTCCTAATTCCACTCAAGCTTTCAGATGAAACACTGTATCCCTCTGTCTACTCAAATGTTATCCACACTTAAAGATACAGTTTAAATTACCATAGTGAGTCTGCCTATACATAAATAATAGTTATGTAAGAAATCTATTTCTAAGCTATTGTGATTCTGCTCATATTGTCTTGAACTCTGACAACAGACACATGCACACCCCTCTCTTTTTTAGGCACTTTCAAAATACACTATCCGTCAGAGATTAACTTCAAAATTAGACTACCTAGAAATGAATCACAGATTCTCTGTTTGCTAACTTTGAGACCTCAATCAAATCACCTGGCTCTTCTGTTTCATATGTAACATTGTGAAGAGTAATAGCACTTTCCTAAAGCTGTTGTGAGGATTAAAATGTGTTCAAGAAATGTAGCCATTATACTAAAAATTATTATGTTACTTGAGGGCAATGGTCTTCCAACTACTGACAGCTCACTTTAAGAAATTCAGAATCCTTATCTTACAGTAGGGCAAACCGCTAAAGAGTGGGTTTTACTCTAGGCACTGCTGAACCACTTCAGTTTTGTTGTTCCCTACACAGGTAACACTAGGCCCTGCACACTGCTTAACCAGCTCAATATTTACCCATATATCAAACACGTGGTGTACAGTGGTTGTTTCAAGTCTTCATGTTCTTTAACTTTACTCTTACAGTTCCTATACTACTTGTGGCCTGACTTCATAAAGAAACCAAGCATTTGGCACTGGCTTACCACCAACCCCTCTTCCCCTCAAATTATGCCTCTACACCTTCCTGTGCTTTCCTCAATCTCTGAATTATATCTTCTCTGAAAGTAACTGACCACTTTAGGTGAACTTAAAATCAATGGTTCTAGAGAGTAAGAGAGTGAGTGAGAAAGCAAGGAAGAAATTTTCTAAAGTAAAGAACTTATAAAACAATACTGTTTGTAGATAAATATGCACACTGTCATTACCATAGCTAGCACATACACAGTGCTTACCATACATTAGTACAAGTTGTTACTTCACTAAAACACAGAAACACTCTGAAATGGGAATTACTGCCCCACTTTATGTAGGAGCAACTGGAGTTGCAGAGACAGTAAGTAATTTGCCCAAGTAAAAAGTAACATAGCTTGCATAAGAATGATGAAACCAAATTCAGAAGTAAGTTTTGAAAGTAGAAATAACATAATGTCACTTGCATGTAGAATTTTTTAAAAGCTGAACTCAAAAGTCACCAGTAGAAAACCATAGTTTTCAGAGGCTGGTGTAGGGTAGGAGCATTGGAAAAATGTTGAAGGGTACAAAATTTTAGTTAAGACAGGAAAACTAAACTCAACAGATCTATTGTACAACATGGTTGATTACAACCAGGCATGATATTGTTGAAAGAGTAGATTTTAAATACACTAACCATAAAAAAGGTGAGGTAATAAGATAATTAGCTTGATTTACTCAAATTCATACATATTTCAAAACAACATGATGTACATAATAAATATAACTGTTTTTCAATTAACATTTTAAAAAGCTTTTAGAAGTAACTTAAGCTGTGTTCTATGTGGTTCCATTTGGTTCCTCTTTTTATCTCCTAAAGAAAAAAGCTGAAATACACATAAATGGTATAGTTTCAAGGTACAGTTATGAATGGCATCTTTGTATTTTCACTGAAATCAAGCCTAGCTGGTGTGGAAGAATCCACACAACTGGGGAGGCTGAAGTGGGGGGATCACACATTCGAACACAGCCTGATCAACTTAGCAAGATCAATATTCAAAAATGAAAAGGGCTAGAGATTGTAGCTCAGTGTGAAAGCTCAACCCTTAGGACTGCAAAGTAACAGAAATAATACTGAAGAACTCTTATCTAATTAAACCACCTAGAAAACACAGTGTACAATATATGTAAGAGAAGCAGTACAGCAGGAAGAATATGTCATGCCATTCCTACATTTCATTGTTCATAGGTATTCAATAAACATTTACCAACTAGGGAGGCAGGAAACTAGGTTACTAGGCACAAAGAGAATGTCCCTGCTCAAAACAAATGTACAGTAGGAAGAGAGGAGGAGGAAATAAACAGAATTTAGAAGAACATAGAAAATAAATATCTAGTACATTACAATTTATAAGAACCTTATACCTTAACTATAAAATATGTCCTGGATTCAAAGGGATATATTTCTTTCATTATAAATTAAATATGTGGTTCAGTGATTCTCAAAGTATGTTCCCGGGCCAAAACAATCACTATTATTTAAGAATGCAAATCTTGGGCTCCACACTACAAAATCAGAGACTATGGAATGCAACTCAGCAATCAGTTTTAACAAGCCCTTGAAGCGATTCTGGTACATATTAAAGTCTGAGAATCACTACTGAAGCTTTACCAATGTCAAGAGGCCACAAACCAATATGACTTCTACTAGACATACGAAATTCACCTGTGCACTCCTAGCTCATTCTAAACTATAAGTGCTACTTGAATTATCACCTACGGATCTATTTTTTGAGGAAGCCCAAGGATATTCTAGCAAGACTAGGGACTTCAAAATGACCTAAATTCCTAATCTTGAAAATGAGTAATAACAGAAAATAAATTTTTAAATAAACTGTAGCTATTCATCTAGTCTTGTTGAATGCTACAATAGCATCACCACTTAATCACAGCTAAGGCAATGCTAAACTGCAAGGCAAGAACTGAATAGTCATATTTCTACCTGAAAAATCATGTCAAGTTACTGAATCAGATTAAAAGTAAAATATTCTCAGCTATTTACTATCTAGGACCTGAACAGAAGAAAATTTAGAGACAGAAGAAATTTTATTTTAACAAAAAAATTTTTAGGATTTGAAGAATTCACAAAATTTGAAATATCCAGGTACTTTATTTTCATTATATAACTGACAGAATTATTAAAATAATCATTTATTATTTGAAATGGTCTTTCCTTTCATAATCTTAAACTTCCCAAGTTCACTCTTCAAATTCTTAAATAGAGGTACACAAAAAGTGGTCCAAATCCACACAGTGATTCTTGTTTTAGATTTAATCATAGACTTATATTTAAGACTTAATTGTCAACTCTCACAGTAGGACAAGAAACATTCAGGTGAATGCAGAAAAATGAAGTATTTAAAGGAAAGGAAGTAATATTTAGTACATCTGTAGTCAAAATGATTCATTCTGAAATGTCTATACAACACTTTCAGATTACTCACATAAAATGAACTACTATGGTTTCCCAAATTATTGTGAGGATAAATCACTGGTTCGTTTTTAACTTTTTATTCTGAACAATTTTTTAACCACTTTTGGTAATTTTAGTTGGACTACAATGCTTGTATAAGCAACCAAGTATTTTTTTTTAAACCTACAATTGTGACACACACCTGTAATCCCAGTACTTGAGAGGCTTAGTGAATTTAAGGCCAGGATGAACTACATAGTGAGACCCTGTCTCAAAAGAAAACAAAACACAAACCCCACAACTTTCTATATGAATGCTGTATATTAATGATGAATAACACCAGGACCTAATGCCACAATGAAAATGTGCCGAAGTCTGTCTTCTATGGAGGCATCTTCAAAACACTGCAGATGGGAATGTTTATCCTCCCACACTATGTCCACTACACATGTATGCAAGCACACATACACACGCACATACTTTCTTTTTAACAACTTACTATGAGTCTACTCTCACACAGTTATTTCTATTTAAAGCCTGAATCACATTAGGGAGTTAACACAAGGTAAATATTTTATTTGCATAAATGTATCTTTAAAATCATTTCTTTAAAAAAGAAAATCTTCAAATGGTTGTTACTAGTCCTAATATCCCCAAATTCCAAAAAGAGATGTGCATCTATCCTAACCACATATGTCAGATTTTTACAGACATCTACCACATGCAAGAGACTCACTAGAAAGACTTGAAAAGATGAACAAACAAGAAAGAAAGTCTCAGAGGAATAAGTGCCCCAGGAGCCCAGCTAAAAAATTCCAATCACAGCTTACCTCTTTAGGGCACTGATTTTTGCAACAACTGAGGAGGTTCTTTTCATTTACATCAGCTGTAGTTATTTTTCTAAAAATAAAGAAAGTTTTGATGATGGTCAAAAAGTTGATTTCATACCACAATTTTTCTAAAAATATGAGGAAAAAAAGCTCTTGTAATTCAGTGTCAAATATACCCATAAACACATTTCATTTTTTCTTGATATAGTTTATCTAAACAATTATCTTCAAATTACTTAATGTTCTGCTAACTCAAACTATCAGGACAACAAATCAAATATCAAAAAGGCAATCATTACAAGAAAGAAGTACAAGACACACAAAATATACCATCCATAGCTGGTACCTGGCATCTCTAATAGTTCTACCTTTCTCTATGAATCAATCATTATAACTCTTTAATTATAATTCATCATTAGAGACTGCAAAAAAAATTAAAAACTACTATTTAATATGTTAAGTTAAAGAATTCAGGCTATCCAGCGAGAAATGCAGTCAGTTTATCAGAAAAGCTTTTGTCAGTTGCTTTTGTGTACACTATGAGGTATGATTGGAAAATAAATTTTAAATTTTTAAAAATTTAATCCAGATATATTGCCACTAGTTCAATATACTCCCCCCACCCCCCAACACACATATCCTATCATCCTTGCCACTTTCTGAGGCAGTTCTGGAAGTCCTCTTTTATGTCTAGTGGTACTGCTGTGGCTGCCTCAATTTCCTGAATAGATTCAAAATGTTCACCTTTCAAGGCCACTTTTTGACTTTGGGAAAGAGTCAAAAGAGACACAGACCCAGATCCAAGTAAGAACACACCATAATGTTTTTACCGGCCTGCTTTTCTGTTGGATGGCACTTGGAAGTAGCTTTCCCGTATTTATGATGATATCCCGAAAAGATACAAAGAGGACTCCCTTAACTGCTTCAGAAAGAGAAGAATGATGATGGGATAAGTGTGCTCAAAGTGAGGGGAAGTATTTGGATAAAGAGTAATAGCTATGTGTCTTTCATTATGGTAAATTTTTTTTTAATTTAAACATCTACCATATATTTTGATGATACCCTCATGCTAGAAATTGGTCTCAGGTCAGCTTTTATGCTTTCATATTTGATTCAAAAAAGTCACAAACATTAAAGAGAATTTACTTTCTAAAAGAACTGCAATAGATAGTAACTAGCAAAAATCTAAAACTCACTATCATAAATATTTCATTTCCCTTTACACATTACCTTTCTTCTTTCCTTTTTCTTTTCCTATTTCCCTTCACTAGACAAAACTGCCAAAGTAACCATAAGTTTAATATCATTAACGTTAATTAAAATTACTACATTAAATGTTTATATTAGCTGTATAAATTTATCCACATATACTCTAATATTTCAATTTTCCTCACAGTTTCACTTAGTACTATTAAGTATTTATAGTGGCCCTATTAAATATTGTTGCATATTTTTCTTTATTACGAGGTGTAAGATGATGTTAACTTCTGGACTTAGGAGTAGCATCATTTTGTTCCTGTTACTCTATAATTAAGAATAAATCAGTTTTTCAAGATTTGTGCCTTTTCTGTCTACTTTCTGAAAAGAATCAGACAAAGCTGAAAGGGACTAAAAGGAAAAACAGCATGTGAAGTAATTCAGTGAAAGGAAAGTAAGTGAATTAATAACACTTTATATATAAAATATATGCTTTAATACGTATTTGTAGAAAAATAAATATAAATATCTAGCAAATATGTCTCAAGTTACTACCGTAAGTATTCCCAGAACTAGGAAGTTCTGGATAAACTGAACAGAAAAGAGAAGGGAGTACAGAGCCGAAATCACACCAGGAAAAAAATAGGTGTAAACGCACTAACAAAAACCGCTGGTGGATGAGAGCATTAACTAAAAGGACGGACCTTTAAAAAGCAACACTCTGAGAAGAAGCACCTTTAGAGAATTATATGATGAAGAGGAAAATCAGCAAAAAAGGAAATTTAGAAACCTGAAAGACCAAAGAAAATAAAACAGTGTTTAACACCTCCTCTCAACACCAGAGTAGCAAATAATCCAAAACCAGGATAGCTCTATACACAGAAACTGAAGACTTGTAATTTACATCTACAAAAAATACTATAGGAAATAAATATAGGAAAACTACTATAGGAAATGAATGACAACCAAAATATCCCAGCAGATGAAAATCTCTTCTTACCTCACCACGCTGCCAGCACGCCCCACCTCCACAAATAATTTCACGTTAAGTATTCCAAATTTGAAAATCTGATTGGAGCTTTTGGATTTCACATTAGAATGTTTAACACAGACTTTACTAGTTGAACATCCCTAGTCCAAAAATTTGATAAGCAAATATTCAAAAATCCAAAGAACTCCAAAATCTGAAATACCTCTGGTCCCAAGCCATTTCAGATAAAAGATATTTAATCTGTACAGTATAAAGAAAAAGAAAATGGGCTGAACATGTAGTTCACTGGCAGAGCATTCTACCTAAGGTGCAAAAAGCCCTGGGTTCAATCTCTGCAGCACTGCAAAAAAGGAGAGAGAGACAGAGACAGAGAGAGACACAGAGGGAACTAGAACACAATATTCCAAACTGAATAGTCTCAAAGCATGAGAGGATCTGAAACACCACCAGAAGAGTGCAGAACAGTTAAGAGTTAAGAGGAAGAGTTAAAAAGAGTTAAGCTCAAGAGCCTTTTCCCTCTGCTGACTGTGCTCTGTATCCTTCTGCTACAGCAGAAGATAGCCCTCCATATAATATATGTTGGATCCTGAGTTCTCCTAGCAAATTACCAAACCTAAGTGTGGCCTTGGACACCTGCCACACACCACTATCTTAAATCAGAAAATTAAAACCTAAACACCTAAACGAGGAAACAAAAATAATTAGAAATGCATATAGAAGTTAAGTGAATTCAGGAAGGTAATTTTTAAAGGTAAAAGTTGTATCAGAAATGAAAATTAAACTACAAGGTAGCCATGAAAGAACATATAGAAGAACATACTTGAAGAAATATGTAATAAAGATCCTTGAAGTGACAAAGTGAAATAACTCAAGAATATTTAAACCAAACCAAGAAAAAAAAAATGTGTCAAAAAGAAGTGGCTGAATCTGAAAACTGAAGAAGATCCAATAAACATACAATTGTTATACTTGAAGAAAACAACAAAAAAGTACATGGAACAGAACCAGTATTTCATTGAAAACTATAATGAAAGAAAATAAAAATACTGAATCTATATGCAAGACAGGTACCTGAGAAAAGTTTTACAAAAATTTACACAAAACTATTAACTCAGTGAGTCACATCTTAGTAAAACTAAGGTATGTTAAAACAAAAGATTAACTTATAAAAAGACTGACATCAAACTTCTCAACAGCAAAATATACAGAAAAAGAATAAAAAACAGTATTTTCAAGAAACTAGAAAAGAACATAAAAAGGACTTTATGCCCATGAAACAACCTTAAACATGCAAGAACTCAGGAATATTGCATCTGCAAATCTACTAGAGAAAATACTTTATCCATTCCAGAGTAGACTGGGGAAACTTCAGCAACTGGTTAAAAATGAAAATATGAAATTAAAAACCTGAAATAGGAGTAAAAGTAGGAATGAACATAGCCCATATGAATGTTACATACTCTGAAACAGTAAAGAATGCAACTAAAAATGAGAGAAAGGAGATGAAAATAGACAAGAGGAATACTTTAGCTGATTGTCATGTAGGGTCTACAGGTATGAATAAGACCATAACATCAAAAGCAGACAAACTATTTAGTAAATGACTAAAAAAAATAGGTACCTAAGGGCATTACAAAGGTGTAAGTACAAACGTAACCAACTACTAAACACGAACATGAATCCTCCTAAATAAGCTCTAAAACGAGAATAAAAAACCCCGTATCACTTAGATACAGAAACACAAGTTATAGAACAGAAGATGAATAGCAATCACAAAACAGTTACAAAGATAATATGAACAGTCAAAATTGTGAAAGAATTTAGCTTGCCTATTTAAATAAAGGGGTTGCAATTATTAGATCAAAAAACAATCCAAGCCAAGAAATTATTAAATGTGAGGAAGGAAGACACTTTTTAATGCTCAAAACCATACTAGTTAAGAATTCTGTACAATACAGAACAGATCATCAACTTTACGAAGCAAAAATGACAGCACTTGCAAAGAGATACACACAAACACTAAAACGTATGAAGTGTTTTTTTGTTTGTTTGAGTCAAGCTGGCCTCGAACTTGCAGCAATCCTCCTGCCTCAGCCTCCCAAGTGCTGGGATTGAAGGCATGAGTCACAATGCCTATCTAAATGTATGAGACTTTAATACCATACCTCCAGTATAAGACAAATATACTGGAAAACTAAAATGAGTCAGATATACGATTCTCAACGATGATGAAGTAGAACGCACATAAATATATGGACTGTATATAAAGCAATGCTCAACCCTTAAAAATGCTTACAATAAAAATGAAAAAAGCAGAAATTAAAGTAGTAAAAAATGAGTTAATCCAGTTCATCAAAATCCTTATTTTTTTAATATCCCCAAACACAATAAAACCTGGAGGGAGAAAGCAAAAATATTTAACTTGAAAATGACAGAGAACAATTATAAAATAGAAGACATTTTTTAAAAATTACACCCAACTTCCTTTCAAACCTCTACAGAAATTCATCTAAAAAACCTACATGAAAGTGATAATTTCCAAGGAAAATAATTTCCTAAAAATGATCCCATGCATTTTTATTATGACAGAAAATATCCAAAAATTATGGAAACAGGTTAAATGGACATGCAAATTAGCTTAAAGATATTCCCATAGGCCTTTGACATTAGTTAACTTAAACACAAAACAATAAAAAATAAAATAAAAATTAAATCTACTGGTACACATTACTATTAGTAAATGAAAGAGAAAAGAAAGCTACTCCTTACAATAAAAAGCCCATTAATAAATGCAGAAGAGATGACAAAGAAGCTAGAAAACAGCCATTTCCCACCATCATTTTAACAACTGATTTACACCAGAATTATCAATGGATGCTGAAGTAGCAGATGAAAATTTAATAAGCAAAAATCTATGAAAAAGAATGGAAGTAAAAGACCACATGATTAACCTTGCATCATTATCTGCCCATTAATAATGCAAAATTATCTTATTAACTCCTTCTAAAAAAACTTCTAAAACTAAAAACCACAATAATTTATTTTTAAAATTTAAAACGTTTGGCTTTTTAATAGAGAACATTTGCAATACATCATAGTTATATTTATTCTGGGAGACTAGTAAATGGCTACAGCAAATCTTGAGTTTTTTACCCCTTTACCCCCATTCCCTACTCTCCCTCCTCCCCTCACTCTTGACCCCTCTCTCCATCTCCACCTCCACCAAGGTTGGCTTTCTGTAAGTAATTAAAAATATTGGCTCTCAGAATTTATACAGCGTGAGTCTAGAATGCCTATGCCTGTATTCTGAGTAATTTAAAGATAACAATATGCAACATATTAACCATTGTTACTCTCCTATCATCTTGTTTTGAAATTTTTTTTTCTTTTTCTCTTTAAAATTAAAAAAAAGAATTCTCCTGGTTGAAATTACTGAAGTATTTAAAAGATGGAGAAGTCTACATTTCTTCATTCCACTTCTCTACAGAAAAAATCCAGGCCTATAGAGTTTCCAGAACACAACTGAACAACATTTCTTAAAGAATACTATGAAGTATTCTGAATTATAAGGAGACACTATTCAAATACCTTAGTAAAACCATGTTTTATCAATCCACTTACCTACATTCCACATACAGGCTTGTGATCTTGCAGTGACATTTTATCCTAAGCATCTGAACACAAGGAGGACATTCTCCAGGATGACATGGTAAAACACATGGATGAGGACAACCCAAGGGCCGAGACTTAGAGCACCCTTCTTCACAACGAAGGCATTCTGGGCCAGCCTGAGAAGTTGGATGGGATAAACACCTAAGTACACAAGCCTAACATTTCTACACATTAAAGTTATGAAAGTTAGATATCCCATTAAAATAACATACTTCTGCAGCTTTTACAAACAGTTAATAAAATGTTACATGTTCTCATTCTTCTTAAAAATATTCAAGATGAAGAATATTAAGACTATCAATATGACCATTATTCATATAGATTTTGTGCCTATAAACCTTGTCAAATTGCCTCATTTTTAAAATTTAACTAAATGAAGTATCCCTACTTAAAAAGAACATATATTATTGCCTAAAAAAATACTCAGTGGCAGAAAAAAATAAAGTGTGAAACATTATTGATTCATTTCCACCCAACAAGTAAATCACCACTGACCTAAACAAACAAAAAAAACCCACTGGCTCTGGTGGCACACACCTATAATCGTAGCTATTTTGAGAGTAGAAGCAAGAGGATCACAAATTCAGGGCCAGCCTAAGCAACTTTGCAAGATTATTATTTCAAAAAAAGTAAAAAGAAAAAAAAGATTGGAAATGCAGTGTATTATCTGACAAGCATGAGAACCTGTGTTCAATCCCCAGTACTGCCAAAAAAAAAAAACCCCAACGTACTATTAACATATAAATATGCAAATTAATAAACTAAAGTTAAATTATATTCACAAGTAAACACATACATTTCAGCATAACTTAACAGGGCACCTCTTTCCACTTTAGTGATTTGATAATGTAACTAGTCTCAGCAATCTACCAAAGAATGTTAAAGTAGTTTATTTCAGGATACTGTATTGTTTTTATTTTCACAGGGTATACTTGAGATAAAATATGTAAGAAAGCTACAGACATAGGTAATAAGTTTTAAAGGTCAAGCATTTTTATTATCATTCCTAAGTACAGCCATAATTGTAACAGTCATTATATCAATGAAGATCTAAGCTATTTGGCATTTAGGATTAAAAAGAAAAAAATATTTCAAACTATAAAAAACCTCCTATAAATAATTTTTATTTCTTTAGATTCAAGAAGTATATTCATCCATTCTACATTTATTCAGCATTTATTTGCCAGCCATTGCCCTAAGCACTGGGAACAGGTAAGAGTGATTCCTGGAACTTACATGAAAGGTAAAGAACATATTAAGAAAAATATAAAATATATTAAGAAAGTAGGATGACAGGAATAAGAACAAAACATGTCTGATTAACTTCAGATTTGAATAGAAACTGGGTTAAATAAGGGAGTAAGCCACAGGAATGTAGATTTCTTGGATGCAGAAACCCAGAGAAAAGCAACAGTAAGTGCAAATGATATGAGGTAACAAACTCAACACTCAAGAAGCAGCAGGAGCAGAAGCAGAAGTGGGCAAGCAAGAGAGAGCTGAGTAGTTGGAGGAGAGTTGGGAAAGGCACTTAGGCTTCAGATCATTACCGAGCCTCATGGACAATAGTCGGAGGTCTTCCAATTTTAATCTGAGCATGCCTGAAAGCTATTAAAGGGTTTAATCAGGGAGATATTACCTATTTTACATTTTTAAAAAGATGAATCTGGCTGATTTAGAAAAAAGAAGTGGAAGTGGAAGGTTAGCTGGGAAAATACTATGGAAACATAAGTAAGAGGTGATGGTGACAGAGATGAAGATAATAATAATAGAGGTTATAAGAAGTGGTCAGATTCATGTCTACTTTATTTTTTTTTTTTTTTTTTTTTTTTTTGGTTTTCCTCCGGTACCGGGAACCGAACTCACGACCTTGCGCTTGCCAGGCAGGCGCTTTTGCCGCTGAGCTAAATCCCCAGCCCCTTCATGTCTACTTTAAACATAAAGTTAACAGGACTTTTTACAGAACAAGAACAATGAAGATAAGAAATCAAGCATAATTTCTATGCAGCTGAGCAAAAATGACCTGTGCAACTGAGTAGAAATTGCAGTACAATTTATTCAAATAGGAAAGACTGGAAGAGGAATAAGTAATCAACCACAAAATATGCAAACATAACCAAATTTAACACACACACACAAACACAATTTATTTATTCTTTCTGGCTATATAGTTATATCTACAACAATCATCTAAGCAACATGAGTATATCATCTAAGTAATGTGAGTATATCACTTAAGAACTCCTCCTAGTTATGAAACAAAACCCACTAAATCTACACTTGTTAAACCATCTTTCCGGATTACTTCTAATATCAAAATCTACCTTTTAGGAAAGACTATGTCAATTTAGAATACAACAAATTTGGTTATCAAGTACCTCATGTAGTTCTCATTACACAAAAAAGAAAAACTAAAGTTTTAAACCAAGAAGGAATACTGGTACAATCCACAACAGTCAAGAAAATGAGTATTCCTGATTCATCTGACTTTCTGGAAATCTAAGGAGGAAAGCCATAAAGCATTTATCCCCTAACCAGTTAAAGTACTTTTAGCTCCTTTCATTATTTGCTAGTTTGATTTTATAGTTCCAGTATCTTTTTCATTATACTATGTGTAAATTTTTACTGAGGATCAAGGCATGGATCAATGAAGAAATTATAAGTAATATATTTACAAGTATAATTTGTACATAAACAAGAATGACATTCCACACATTTATGTCATGCATTATAATTATCAATTAAAGGACCTAACAATGTAAGTAAAATTTTCAATAGCATAACTTATATTAATTTAAGTATCTGTAAATTTAGTATTACTTAATAACAAAGTAATATTTAAAATGTCTGGTTTGTTCCTCATTAAGATACTTGCTAATATTATGATTCCTTATTAGATGAAAGTCTAGGAAAAAAACATTCTTTTAAAAATACAGTTTATACCATACTCATAAGTGAAATAAATCAGACCCACATGTGTAAACATCATATTGTCTCCTTGGTGTAGGAACTTGAAAGACTAAAAACTCGGGGTTGGGGATTTAGCTCAGCGGCAAAGCGCCTGCCTGGCAAGAGCAAGGTCGTGAGTTCAGTTCCTGGTACCGGAGAAAAACCAAAAAAAAAAAGACTAAAAACTCAAAACATACAATAGATGACAGGAAAGGGAAAGAAATTGCTCAAAGAAAGGAAGGACTGGGATGAGGGAAAGAAAAAAGAAGGAAGGCAAAGCATGAACATATATATGAATAGCTGAGATGACTGTACTGCTGTTGTCTGATGGTGTATTGAAACGAACAGTTAATGCTCACAATTTTTTATGTTCTGATCGACTGCATGCTTGGGTCTGAGCAACTGGTTTGAAGGTAACAATATGCAGTGGAATTACAGTGGTGAACTCCTACCACCTTGTTTAGTGAAACTCGGTATTATCTCTACTGTTTTATCAAAGAATTATTTTCTTATTCTCTTTAATGGTTTGAGCAATCTTTCATTTTTACATCTGATAATCTGAGCAATGCAGTTGAGGATAGTGATATGCAGTGTAACAACCACTGCTGATTTGTATTAATTTGTCTTGAGACCCTACATCACTTTGAATGTTTTTGCTTTGATTTGTTTATGTTCGTGATACTGGTATGCTGCTACTGCTCTATTTTTTTGTTTGTTTCTCCTGTACTACTTTCTTTAAAATAAAATTTAAAAAAAATAATAAAAATAGTTTATTATTTAAAATTTGATTTGCTTCTTGTAAAATGCCAACATTTTTAGAGATCTCCAAAGTTCTGATATATGCTTATAAAATGCTTTTAGAGAATTCTATATACATATGTTTACCACACATACAGTATGTGTGTAAAAGAAAAGACAGAATTTATTAAAATTGTGAACATTATCTATCATGTGTCAGGTGTGAAAAAATAGCCGAGAGCAAATGTTTTGACTAATTTCAGAGATATGGAAAGAAACAGAAGTGTCATTACTACTATCTAAAAAGATACATATTTTCTGTATTTTTGTCATAAAATCATATCCCATGTATTAACACAGGTACAGTGTGCAAAGACTTCCACATTAAAAGGCACATTATTACTATGAGGTATCACAAAGACATGGAGCAACACATTCCAAGCTGTAAAGTTGAGTGTCTCAAGAAAGAGAAGGAAGGAAGGAGGGCAAGAAAGAGACAAAATACTGAAACAAAATAAAAAATTTTACGATCTAATGTTGAAAAAAATGTTTTAAGCAAACTATCTGCATAAATACACTCAATCTAAGGATATTACCTTGTTTTTGCTAGTAAAGCCATCAACTTCAGTTACTTTGTGGCATTCTTTCAAACATGTATGATTCTGACAATCTAAGATTCTTCCACAAACTCTCTTACAGGAGTAGGGCCCCACAGCATGGCATGGTAGTGGACTCACCTTTTTTTCCGAAAAAAAAAAAAAAAAAAAAAAGTAAATTAATATAAGACACACACACAGTCACAAAACCTTCTGTTTGCAAAATGCATCTGCTATCATTTCAGAACAAATTTCACAAAAGTCTAAAATGCTTTCATAATAATATTTATTGTCAAAACCAAAGTGACCTATCAAAAAGTTCCCCAACAAATACATGCCAAGAAGCAAAATATTACACTCCTAAAAGAGAAATTCAATATGATAAGTACATATAATGAATACATACAGAGGCTAATTCTTAAAAAAAAACATACATTTTTTAAAATGAGTATACAAACTGTTTGTATACTTACTCTTTGCAACACTGAAATACAATATTTAGACTTTATTTCCAAACACTGTAATATAGAACAAGTATAAATTATGAACATTAAAAATTACGCCTATAGCTCACCTCATGCTTCCCAAGACATTCCCTACAAAGAAAAAACGAAAACATTATAACTGCTTCATAAACAGTATCACAAGCAAAGATACTAACTCTGCTAGTTTTATTGAGTGAAAAATAAAAATATATATGTAAATGAATGCAGTAAAGTTACAGGATACAAAGTTAACAGACATAGAGCAATTCTTTCCTCTATACTGGAAATGAACAATTAACACTTTAAATTAATATCACAACACTATTACACTGGCCCACCAAAAAAACCCAAAATATTAGGTATAATAAATGCAAGATTAATATTAGAAAAACTACAAGATGTTTATGAAAGACACCAAAATTTAAGCAAATGGAGAGATATTCACTGAGAGGAAGGCTCAGCATTGCTAAGATGTCATTTCTCCCCAATTTCATCTAGAGTCAATACAATTTCAACTAAAATCCCAGCAAGTTAATTTGTAGGTAACAATCGAATTCTAGTCTACATAGGAAGACAACAGGTTCCAAATAGCCAACACACTATTGAAGAAGAACGAAGTCAGAGGACTGACATCACCTGACTTCAAACTATAAAGCTACAGTGATTAAGAGACTGTGGTATTGGTGAAAGAACAGAAAAATAAACCAATGGAAAAAAATGGACAGCCCAAGTATAGATTCACACAAACACAGTCTACTGATCTTAGACAAAAGGGTGAAGGCAAATAACTACAGAAAAGATGCTTTTTAATAAATGGTTGATGTTGGAATAAACAGACATTCACTTGCAAGAAACCTGCACAGGCTTTATAATAGTTAACTCAAAATAGATCTACAAACCTAAAAGTGAAATACAAAACTATCAAACACAGAATAACCTAGATGGCCTTGGGTTTAGTGACAGACTTTTTATATACTACTAAGAGTATGACCTATAAAAGAAAGCTGGGGGCCAGGTATATAGATCAGCAGCACAAGCGCCTGCCTGACAAGTGCAAGGTTCTGAGTTTGATTCCCGGTACCAAAAAAAAAAAAAAAAAAAAAAAACTGGTTCATTGAAATTAAACTAAAAACTTCTCCTTTACAAAGAACACTTTAGAGAATGAAAAGACAAGTTACAAAATGGAAGAAACTGGAAAACACTCATCTGATAAATGACTTATATCCAAAATACATTTACAACTCTTAAACTCAACAACAAGAAAGCAAACATTCAATTTAAAAAGAGACAGAACATATGAACAGAGAATAGATAACTCATCGAAAGACTAGAGATGGCAAATAAGCATATAAATAGATGCTCAGCATTACATATCATTGGAAAATTGCGAATTAGAAATAAGATACCACCACCCATCTATAAAAAGTTAACATCCAAAACACTGAAAGTATTATATCCAGATGAGGATGTACAGCAACAGGAGCTCTGTTCATGGCTGATGAAAATATACACTGGGACAACTACTTGGGCAGACCGCCTGATGGCTTCTTACAAAGTTAAACATAAGCTGGCCATATGATCTAGCAATTTTATTTCTAAGTGTTTATCCAAATAAGCTGAAAACTTATATCTATGCAAAAATTTGCATATAAACATTTACAGCACCTTTATTCTTAATTATCAAAATGTGTAAACAATCAAAATATCGTCTAATAGGTGAAAGCATAGACAAATTGCAGGACATCCACATGGTGGAATATTATTCAATGATAAAAAAAAAAGCTACCAAGACATGAAAAGACACAGAGGAAACTTAAGAGAAAGAATTCTGCTAAATAAGTCAGTCTGAATACTGTATAATTCCAACCACCACATATGATGTTCCAGAAAAAGCAAAACTATTAGTAATCAAAAATTTACCACGAGGAAAACTGCAGGGCCAGATGGCCTCATTGGTGAATTCTATCAAATGTTTAAAGAACTCACAACAATCCTTATGGAGGGATAGTTCCCAACTCATTCAATAAGGCTAGTATTACCCCGACACTAAAGCCAAAGAAAGCTGTCACAAGAAAACAACAGACCGATATCCTATACAAATACAGATATAAAAAGTCTGAACAAAATACTAGCATATGGAGTCCCACAACATGTGGTTATATACGATGAGCCAGTTGGAAGAAACTTGTAGAAGGAAAAAAACAAGACTGTCTTTTAGAAATAAAAATTCCCTCTTTAAAAGATGAGTTCATTCTAGTCATCTGAGCAACTACTATGAAGATAACAATGTGTATTATAACAACTACTGTTAATTTCCTATCACCTTGTTTTGAAATTCTGTATCTTTTTTTTGTTGTTGTGTTTTTGCTTTTGTGTTTGTTTTCTCTTCTTTTTAAAAGAAAAAAAAGAAAAAAAAGAAATGAAAGATGAGTAGTCTGAGCATGGTGGTGCACACCTGCAATCCTAGCATTTAGGAGGCTGAGGCAGGAGGATGGCTACAAGTTCAAGGCCAGCCTGGGCTACAAAGTGAGTTCAAGGCCAGCCTAAACTGCACAGTGAAACCCTGTCTCAAAAAAGACCAAA